AGGCGGGAAAATCACAGTCTATTTCAAGAACTGGTTGAATAATATTTTGCAGTCTTATCTTTGTGTATCATTTCTTGTAAATTCATTGCTGCTTAAAAGTTGCTCCAAATTGGTCAGACCAATGAAGATCATGGGCATGCGACAGAAAATCCATCTGCTTATGTGGAATCAATCAACTCAGCAGGAAGAGGGCTGCATAGGTTGATCCTACACTCCTTAAATTACTCTCTGTTTGTGTGTTTGTTTACTGTTCTTATGCATTGACTTTTCTGTTGTATCCTACGATGCATATGTAAATATAATGTTATTTTATTTCTGACCACTCTAATTTGTTGTAGGATTGGAACTGTATTCTATTATTGTGCAACACATTTATCGTCTGGTCTGGGTCCAGATGAGTCCGTGCATGGCTTACTTGAGGTGTTCTGGCCAGTGCTTGAGAAGCTCTTTGCTTCTGAACTCATCGCAAATGCAAGCTTGTCTACAGCTGCTTGCAGGGCTCTTGCACTAGCAATCCAGGCGTCAGGTCTTACTTTTTTTCTTCATATTTGGGTTTGGCGCATGAGAGCTATTTTGCTCAATGACTGACAGCAAAAGGCTTGATACACAGCCTATTCTAAACCATAAATGTTTATGCACAATCCAATACCTAGACGCAATTAATATTTCAAGTTCAAGTGGATTCGGAGAGCTTAGAAGATAATTGCGTCTAAACATAAATTATCACCCCACCACCTCACACAAAATAATTATAATAAAAAAATTGGATAACTTGAGGTTTAATTCTGTACTGATGTTTAAATGAAGGGGCTTGTTGATAACATTCTTTGGCTATTTTGCAGGTCCAATGTTTGGGGCGCTACTGCCTAAGGTGCTCGACTCTATGTCAACCAATTTTATGTCATTTCAGAGTCATGAATGCTACATAAGAACAGGTGAAACATATGAATCGGACGAGTGATATTGGTGTTTTTGCAGTATCCAAAATTTCAATAAAGAAATTTCATTGTTGTTCGTGTTATGCTTTGTATAGCTCTTAATTTTGTAGAGTCGAGAAAGCATTCTAAGAAGGGGATCTGCATGTCTACTCCTTTGCATGGTCTCTTCTTCTT